CTGTGTCAGGGCAGGAACCGCCTCATGGCGGCCCCTTCCCCACCCTGAGGAGCCCGCTCTGCTCTTCCCCCCGCTGTCTCCCTTTTCCCCGAGCCCATCCCTGCACGGGATGTGGCCTCGTTTGCCCTTGGCTCCCCTCCTTCTTTCTCTAGGCTCAGTCTCCAACCCACCGGCCCAGCCTCTTCCTTTCGACTCACCGTTTTTAAATTTCATTTCTTCTTATTATTATTATTTTTAACCTCTTAATTGCTGCCTGCCCTATAGAGAAAGGCCTAGGGAGCGTGGAGGGCTCCTTGTCTTCTCCTGACAAAGCGGTGAGCCCCAGAACAGCCCCAGGCTGCAGCAGCTCCCCAGGGATGCTGGAGGTTTCCTTCCCTCCCAAGTCATGTTTTTAGCAGGGTTATCCCACTGAAATTAACGTTTCTGCTGTTTCAGGAAAGAACCGGCCTTTGTTGATCGTCCTGGCAAGAAGGTGACAAGGGAAGATCAACATCCTCAGCATCTGTAGGTTGGCTTTGTTGTCACACACCCCACCAGCTTGAAACTTGACAAACGATGGAAGATCTTTATTACCCCCATGTGCTGGGATTCTCCTGCATGACCTTCTGATTTGCCTCTGCCTGTTTATCCTTTCCTGTGAGGTTTCACGGATTGAAAGACTCAAGTTCTATTTTAAAGCTGTTTATTTTTGCCTTAGCAGAGCAGGATAACATCTGTTGGACACTGTCTTGGCTAAGCCAGGAAGGGTATCCAGCCTGCATGGACAGGGCAACATTTGCCTGTTCCACTGCCTTTTTTCGTGACCACCACAGCTCATCTCAAGGTGGATTCTGCCTCCCAGGAGGACACGTTGACTTTATTGAAAAAGTGGAATCATTCACTTACTCGGATTTTTTCCGGGATTATTTGATTCCCAACCATCCCTGTATTTTCTCAGCTAAAATCACTGAAGACTGGGACAGCAGGAGAAACTGGGTTACTTGGGAAGGAAAGCCTAACTTTGATTATCTGCTGCAGAAGTTTGGTAAGTCATGGCATTTTTAATACCTATAAAACACCTATGCTTAATTAAACAGCTCTTTTTTAATATTAGGAGCAGGACTGCTAGACAAAGCCAAGCAATTCCCCACACTTATTTTCTAAGTTAATATGTTCATTCTCTGTACTTACTTCATGTTTAGCAGATTCCAATCTCAAATCTGTTCCCACAATGAAATAGAAAGTGTTGTATAATTGAACCAGAACCATTTATATTCCCTCTTAAGGTTAACCAGAGGGGCAGCCTGATGATTTCCCCAGGCAAAAGGAAGGTGTTCTGTAGTGACAGGGAAACATCTCTTCAAGCTGTAAAACAGAATCATAGAATGGTGAAGGTTGGAAGGGACCTTAAAGATCATCAGGTTCCAACCTCCTTGCTATGAGCAGGGACACCTCCCACCAGACCAGGCTGCACAAGCCTCATCCAACCTGGCCTTGAGCACAAACAGCTCTTTTTTAATATTAGGAGCAGGACTGCTAGACAAAGCCAAGCAATTCCCCACACTTATTTTCTAAGTTAATATGTTCATTCTCTGTACTTACTTCATGTTTAGCAGATTCCAATCTCAAATCTGTTCCCACAATGAAATAGAAAGTGTTGTATAATTGAACCAGAACCATTTATATTCCCTCTTAAGGTTAACCAGAGGGGCAGCCTGATGATTTCCCCAGGCAAAAGGAAGGTGTTCTGTAGTGACAGGGAAACATCTCTTCAAGCTGTAAAACAGAATCATAGAATGGTTTGGGTTGGAAAGGACCTTAAAGATCATCAGGTTCCAACCTCCTTGCTATGAGCAGGGACACCTCCCACCAGACCAGGCTGCACAAGCCTCATCCAACCTGGCCTTGAGCACCTCCAGGGATGGGGCTTCCACAACCCCCCTGGGCAACCTATTCCATTGTCTCACCACCTTCATGGTGAAGAATTTCTTCCTTATGCCTAACCTAAATCTTCCCCTCTTTCAGTTTAAAACCATTACTTCTTGTCCTGTCACTGCCCCCTCTGGTGAAAAGCAGTGTTTTCTGGTGAAAATAGGGGGATATTTAGTAGGAATCAGTATCCCACTCCTAATGTAATTTAGGAGGAAAATTCAGGGCATATTAAATAACTTCCAGACTGAATCATGTTTGCCTGCAATGCTGATGTTGGGAGGGAGAGCTGAGCTAGGGATTGTTGCCTTGTGTGTTTGTGTTGTACTCAGCATTTTAGGGCCCAGAGAAGGTTGAGGGAGTTCACTTTCAGCATCATTTATCCAGTCCTCACGTAAGCTCAAAGAGTTTTCTGTTTCAGGAGAGGCTCTAGTGCCTGTTGCCAACTGTGATGTCAAGGAGTACAATTCTAACCCAAAGGAGCAGCTTCCCTTCAAGGAGTATATCAAGTACTGGAAGGAATACATTAGGAATGGCTACCGTTCATCCCGGGGGTGCCTTTACCTCAAGGACTGGCACCTGAGCAGGTAAGAGGGCACTCAGGAAACCCCTGCATACCCTGCACAGCCCAGAGCTACCACAGAGCCTCCCTGCTCATCTTTTACTGCTTGAGCATTGAAATGCCAGCAGTGCTGCTTGTTACAACCTCTTGACACTTGTACCCTGTGATAGGATGAGGGGGCAATGGATTTAAACTGGAGCACAGAAAGTTCCACCTCAACATGAGGAAGAACTTCTTCCCTGTGAGGGTGACAGAGCCCTGGGACAGGCTGCCCAGAGAGGGTGTGGAGTCTCCTTCTCTGGAGACTTTCAAGACCTGTCTGGATGCTTTCCTGAGTGATCTGCTCTAGTTTTTGGTCTGCTCTGGCAGGGGGTTGGAGTCTATGATCTTCGGAGGTCCTTTCCAGCCCCTGATATGCTGTGATTAGCACATGGCCACCAAAATATCTCTCTTCCACTGCGCAGTTCTTGGCCTAATTCACAAGGCAAGATTCCTAAACAAGTCATTGTTTCTGAAGAGGCTGATGTTCCTGAGCCAATTCCTTTTCATCTGTTTTAAGTGGCTGTGTGCTGTCCTTGTGGAAACTGTGTGGCTGGAACACTTGCCCTTTGTTTGACTGCTACACCCCAAACCTTACTTCTAAAAAGAAGGGGCGAATGTTTCAAATTATGTTTCATTCACTTAACATGGGTGACTTACAGTCCTTTATCCTCTTTTATTTTCTCTTCAACCTTTTCTACTTTTTTCTCCTCCAGCCTGCTACTTGCAAGTCAGTTGCATAGTCCATTTCTCATATCCATGTAGGGCTTTTATGTCTTTTCACTCAAATTTCTTCTTCCTTAAACATCAACTGCTCTTAATCCAATTTTCTCAAGGCCACTTTGCTTTTATTTTTGAGGGTGCCAGTGACTTAGAGTAGAAGAAGTTTGTCAGTCTCTGCCTCCCTGTTTGCTTTCCCAGCCCCTGGGAAAGCCAGGGAGCCCAGGAAGCCACCAACCCTGGTGGCTTGCTACAGAAAGGATGGGAAAGGGGCAACCTACCCTGAGGGAGGAGGTCACACACTTGTCCATTTTCCACAGTCTGGCTTCCCTCCTAACCCACACCTCCCCAACCTGTCATCCAGTTGGACAGTCAGTCTGGCAGGTGTCTCATCTAAAGAGAATGTGTTTCTTAAGAGCTGGCTTGGCCAGAATTAGAAGGACTCTCCCAAATAGCAGTTCACCTTCACAGCTTTCCTGGGAGCCAGAAGAGCACTGTTACCTGCACGTTCCATAGCGTGGAGTTGTTGATGATCTAAGGGAGGTGACAGCTAAATGGAATGGCCTGCCAGAGACCTGATTGCACTGAGGTAGAAGGACCAATGCTATGTGTTTTCTCAGACCTGTTTCCAACACATTCTCTTTTTAAGAGCTTTCCCTGAACAAGATGTTTACACAACCCCTGTGTACTTCTCCTCGGACTGGCTGAACGAGTACTGGGACGCTGTAGCTGTGGACGATTATCGCTTTGTCTACATGGGGCCTAAAGGGTCATGGTAAGGCACTGTGGTTTCTGTCACTCCTACACACTCATCTTGAAGATTTGAGGATTATCATGTTGTGCTTCAAGATAGCAGCATTCTGAGGGAT